CAAAAATTCATATTGCCAGTGAAACAACCAAACCCTCTACGATTTTTAGTGTAACGGAGAACAAAGAAATCTGTAGGTCGGATTTTAGAGTAAAATAGAAACATCAATAAAAAAAAGTGCTATAAAAGGACAAGAAAAGGAAAGGCAGTAAAAAGGCAAGAGAAATAAGTAGGTAGCACAAAATATAGTTGGCCGAGAAATCATTCGAAGAACATCAAATTCTTTTTGGTTCTAGAAAATCTTTAAAAAATAAGTATCTTTCAAAAGCACAAAACGGGAAATTATAATGGAAAACATCGAAATATATTTAAAAATTTACAGCATGAGCACTGTCGCCACTTTCAAATGCCGAATCTTTTGTGGTTCTTCTGTATCCACTCGTTGTTGCCTGCACTGATTGTGCACGAACACGCAGTGGCGGTGAACGATGCTGAAAGGCTCAAACTACAATCAGATTTATGCTTTTACCCTAAGATTTTGGATATCAAAGTCGAATAGAAGATTTCGTACACCAAGAACTCAGATATCAAGATGCACAGAGAATCTTTATCGAGCAGGAAAGAAATTGCTGTGCAGGGGAAAAAATTCCCATCCACCCAGTGATGCGGGGAAAAAATGTGCAATTCTCTTACCCGAATGTGCAGTTCTCGATACCCTGGCTTTTCCTTGGACGATTCTCGGGAACGGCTTATTGGCAGGCTGAGTCCATCAACTTTCCTCATAAAATCGCTCATCGTTATATCTCAAACAATACTTTTTTTTTAAATTGAAGAAAGACATTTTTGCAGTAATATACACCGGAGAAAAAAGCCGAACAGATGATGAAGATGAGAAATAAACCACAGGAAAGCGGGGTAATAAATCATAATGAAAAATGTTAAAAGAGCGAACACTGGGAAGTTCCCTTCCTTCCTTCTCTCCTCCGCCCCCCTCCCCCCCTTTTGACCTCTCAACTACTGAAGAAATTCATTTCTTCAGTAGTTGAGAGGACAAAAATCATTTTTTTATTAGTGGTACCAAAGGAATTAAACAAAAAAAGAGGCGAAAATTACCTGCTAAAGCAAGGCGTCTTTCCTGATTGGGATCCATCATGCTCTGGATGAGAACGGCGCCTTCGAGCGAAATCGGCGCCATGAATGGATTCACATCGTGATCTCGAGGTGGATCTTTACCAGCTAACATCAGATACAGTATTCCACCGAGAGCAAAAACATCGGCTTTCTGATTGTATTTTCGATCATAAACTTGTCTGTTAAAGAACCATTTTCAGAAATGTGGAAGAAAAAAAAATGCACAAATCCGATAATTTTTCACAGAATTACGCTTATTTTCCAAAAAATAATGAAAAATACTGATAAAAACGCATGATGATCTCGACAATAATAAAAAACAATTATAAGAACTGACAGCTTTGCCCCTGCTGGCATGTGTTACTAATTTAGACTACTTTCGAGCACATCCGCCTCATACTGACGGCCAATAAAGAAGGGGCTCGATTTTCGCCTTTGAAGTAGTTGTAATGAAGGTAATCGAAGACGATAATAACTGTTTAAATAAAAAAAAAAATACATATACGAGCAATTCAGTGACCAATCATTTTTTGACAAAAACAAAAACAAATAGGTGAAGAAGTGTTTTAAAGAGAATAACAAGGACGTGTTATCAATTTAATTTTCGATTAGAAAGCTCCCACAGAAATTTCAAAACTTTTTAGGACAACATATTTGTCTTTTTAAACCTAAAAATTCTTAGAACAAAGTCAAATTAAAAACCAAAGGAAGGCACACCTGGAACAATTAGAAGAGATATTTTAAAAAAAAACGATCACAAAAATACAAAATTCTTTAACATACGGTGCAATATATCCAGGCGTGCCAAGCATTGTTCGTGCAATATCGCCTTTCCGAAAAACTGTTGCCAGGCCAAAATCGGCAAGTTTCTGCAGTATTCAGGTTTCATTTACCGACAAGTTAAACCAAGCAAAACAAAAACTAGCAAAACTAATTTATACCAATCTCGATCTAAGAAAAAAAAGAGGAAAACTCATTATGAACATGAAAAGTAACATATCAAAATATCCCCTACTCGACCTATAGTAACTTAATGTCGTTTTTTCATGCCATCGGTGAGATTTGAGCTGTACCATCCAATATTTCAATCAAATTTAAACCCCTTCAGCATATTGGTAGCCTTTCTACTACATAGGTAACAATGTGTGATACTTCCCAGTAATTTCTAATTTTATCAAATGAGCCATCGAAAAAAAGAAGCGAACAATGAGAACATTAGCAATCTATCTACGAAAAGATATATTTTTGTCACAAGATTTCACTTCGTTTTCGTTTCCTTCTTTTTCTATTTCATCGTTTTCTACCTTATCTTTCAATAAAATGGAAAGATTGTCTAACAGTGCTATGCTTACTCGAATTTCTGCTACGAAAAAACAGCAACTGAACAAAGTAACGAGCTTGGATCCATAAACAAGAAGCTCAAACTAACGGAAGGAATGCGTATGCAGTCAACCGAAAAACGGAAACAGGTAAAAAAATCAGAGTGTTAACTTACCACAAAGAATTTATCCTCTCTTATTGAAGAGATAAGTATATTTCCAGCCGACAGATCTCGATGGATCATGTTATTTTCATGGATATATTTCACTGCACTTACAAGTTGTCGCAATATATATGCTGCTGCAATATCATTAAAAAACTATCACCGCGTAATTAAGTGATTTCAAATCTAAAAAGTTCGTGAGACGAAAAAGAAGCTAACTTTACTTTTCTGGATTTATAAATAATCAAAAGCTGATCTTTCCTTAATATTTCAAGTTCTGACAAAAAGCGTTACCTGAAAAATCTGATAATTTGCCATTTTTCTTGACGTATTCTCGAAGTGAGCGATGTTTACAGTATTCCATGATGATGTACTGGGCTCCATTTTCTTGGAACTGATCGTAAAATTTGACAATATTCTCATGAATAAGCCTTGAAAGTGCTTCTAATTCAAGCTCAACGCGATGGATTGGCGCTCGAGTGATGTCAATCTGCAAAATTCTTCAGAAATCTACTTCCCTGGTTTCTTAATTTTTTTTTGATAAAAGGGGTTCAGCCCGATAAGTTCGTGTAATGATTCGTTTCGATGATAAATTGGTACTGCTTGATTCCTATTTTAGTTATTTTGAAGTGTTTTTTGTAGGCTCTGAAAAAAGGCGGGAGGAAGGAAGCAGGATGATCTGACTTTGAAAATTCAGTCCTCATAAGTCAAAATTCGTACTTTTTTGATCGCAACATTTGTGCCGCTCCATGGTTTTCCCACGGCTATACACCGGGCACGATAAACAACACCAAAACCACCACGTCCAATTTCTTCCAGATCATCATATTCCTAGAAAATTAATGAAGATATACTATGAGGATTTCGTAAAAAAAAAATTATGCTTGGAAAAGTTTTTATTTTAATACAATTACATGAAATTTCGTGAATTGTTGATTTCAACTAAAATAAATCCTTATGAATCTTTTAAAATTTAACTTGGGTAAAATTAGAAGAATAAATTCTTTAAAATTAGTTGTCGCGATACTTTCGTAATTTTTAAGAAAATATGCAGTTTAATGATTAAAAAATTATTAATAGAATTTAATGGGTTTTCATTTTTTTTCAGCTCCTTTAACAGTTTTTATGCGTTTTTTGCATCTATGTAATGCAAAAACGCATATTGTCGAGGGGTTGTCTGTGTGTGTGTGTGTGTGTCTGTGTGTGTGTATGTGTGTCTGTGTGTGCGTCTGTAACGAGTTTTCATCTCGAGGTCCACAAAAGCTG